CCACATGGCCCAAACAGTCCTGATGCTTACTGTGGCTGGAACAAGGTCCTTTGTTCAAGTTCATCTTCACCAACTCTCTGTTTTCAATGGCTAGACCAGGCTGGCTTCAAACTCAGAGATCTGCCTCTGCTTTCCCAGTGCTGGGATTAAAGGCGTGTACCATCACACCCTGCTCCAAGATTTTCTTTAATTCCTTATCACACATTGTAAAATTTGCTGGGTGGGATCTTGCCCCAAAGTCAGTATTTTTGTTATAAGGCAAGACAAACTTTAAGATGTTCTCTTTGCTCTAGAGTTCCCTCTGGGACAGCATTTTTGAAACCCTCATTTCCCTTTGAGTTTATTTTTATTTTTATTCTTTTTTTTAAACCCCCTAGACATAGCCTGGCTGTCCTGCAACTCTCTCTGTAGATCAGGCTGGCATCAAACTCAGAGCTCTACCTGCCTCTGCCTCCTGAGTGCTGGAATTGAAGGTGTGCGCCACTATCGCCTGGCTTTTTTGTCTTCTCTCTCTTTTTTTTTTTGCCATAAAATCAGGTGTCTCATAGGGCAGACAAGAAGCTTTTAAATAAGCATGCTTGGGTCCAGAGAAGCAGGAGAGGAGCAATAACCCAATTCCACAGCCAGCTTTTCAATAAAGCACAACAGCATAAAACAATATCTCAACTCATCTGAGTCCCTGCTAAGTTGGATTCAGTGACCAGTAGGAGGGACCAGAGCAACCTGGGAATGGAGATAGCAATTATGGCAAAGAACCAAAGTGGCCACTGCTCCATCTTCCCCTGATGAGTCTGCTTCCCCATCCCCTCTTTGTAGGCCATGGGTTTCCTGGGACAAAGAGTCAGGAAGGATGGAGGTGAACGATCCACTAGGATCCACCTCTGGGAGTTTGCCTTTCTAGTCCTTGCTGTCCATCTACCTGCCCTGGCCGGGCATATGGGCCCAAAGCCTGTGCCTAGCAGAGACTCAGGATGGGAAAACGAAGTTTCCTCTGACTGTGGGCTTCAGTGGCTGTTACTGTGGCAGGTGGAGGGAATACGGCAGGGACAGAAGAGTTAAAGAGACAGACAGGTCAAACAGTCAAACCACAGAACACAAAGGGATAGAGTCAGCAAAAATCAAAACCATTAAACATTAAGGTGCAGAGAACCTTCATGTAGCTGAAAAAGACTGGTTAAAAACAAACAAACAAACAAAACAAAACTGAAAAACCCAAACCATATGGTGTCCACCTTCATTCATCTTCATTCATACATTTAATTAGGCCTGACTGATTTCTTTCTTGCTTCCCAGCATCCAAGAACTACGTGGGCAGAGTGTCCCAGGCAGGAGACAGACAGTATACAGGACAAACCACAGGGGACCAAGGAGAAGGCACCAACATCCAGATGGTCAGTATAAAACCTTGCTATTGCCCTGGGCAGGAGTGCATGTACTTTACCAGGTACCTCTCTGCCCCCTAGGTGGGATCTCATCAGAAACATTACCAAAGCCTGTGGGTCATGACCATTGGGAAGCATATATTTCTGATGGTCTTAGGAACCCCTAATCATAACTGTAATTTTGCTACTGAGCGGGGTGTTAGCTCCTAAGATCGTTGGAAATATGTTTTTTTTTTTTTTTTTGATGGTTGAGACTTGCAGGTTGAGAAACACTGCCATGGAAGGAGACACCTTCTATGACTGCCAATGGAACACTCCTCAGACAGGTTCCTCCTGCCTGTTTTCTTTTTTTAGAGCTGCAGTTTGCTACAGTAATTTGCCAAACCTAAAGCATGCATTGCAGTCCGGGAACATTTCCAAGGCATGCACCTTCCAAGGCAGCATTTAGGCTCTGGAGTCCTGGAGTGAAGGTCTGGCTTCAGAATATGGGTCGGAGGTCTTGATCTCGTTGGGGCCTCCAATTGTTGATCCCTGTGAACAAGCATAAACACAATTAGTCAAAGTCTTTGATCAAATTAAGCAAGCTTTGCTTTCTGTCAGACAGGGCTCTCTCCCTAAAGTGGGGGTTTGAAAAAAAATAGCACCAGACACAAGAAAATGTGGGGTTTATATGGCTCCCAAAACTGCAAGAGTAGGGGGTGCTCAAGAGTTGGGGAATTTCCAGAGAAATTTTGGTTACCTAGGATGTTAAAAATTATTTGGCTGAACATCTTATTCATTCAAGGTGTGAGTCAAATCCCATCGGGGATGGGAAGTATGTTAAATTCAAGGAAGAGGTTAAAACACCGTCAACTTTAATTTTGCAGCAAACAGAAATGAATTTGTTATGAGCTTATAACAAAATGGCTTCTGTCCTTAAGATGGAGTCAGGCTGGTCCATCATAGGTTCAACCAATTGGGTGGATATGTTACTACTGATCAGGCATGTACTTTCCTTAGAGTAATAATAATGCTGCTGGAACTCACTAGGAATGCCCATCTTCTGGGACAATACCCATAAACCAACAAAACAGCCACAAAACACCAACCGGCATCCCTTAACAACAGCACTCACTATGTTTTGTACTTTCTTTTTTTTTTTGAGACAGGGTTTCTCTGTGTTGCTTTGGAGCCCGTCCTGGAACTTGCTCTGTAGCCCAGGCTGTCCTGGAACTCACAGAGATAGCTTGCTTCTGCTTCCCAAGTGCTTGGTTTAAAGGCGTGCACCACCACCACCAAGCATGTTTTACACTTTCATAGCCCATGTTTCTTGATTAAACAAGTATCTAGGGTATCCGATAAGATTAGGTTTAAAGAATAGGCACGTTTTTGAGATGGCATGGATGGTATTATATGCCATTCCTTCTGAGATTGCATTTCTCCTTCTGACTGAGAAGAAGGAATTTGGTGAGGTCTCCAAGGTCCATGAAATCCTGATTCCTCACAAGTGTGATTTCCCTTTTCCTTTCTTTCTTATTTATTTATTTATTTTATATAACCAAGTCCATTTAAATGAAAACAAACATTTATAGACAATATTTGGGAATTTGGGCGTTGTTCTTTCCAAACTACTTCCTGTTGGTAAGGGGCGCTGTCATGGGGGATTCTATAAGAAGATGCAGAAATCCTGGCTGTAGTCTGTAAGGCTGCTTTGTCCAGCTGTTTTGAATGTAGGGTGATCTCCTTTTTCTATGTGGACATTATCAATGCCTATATTTTTAAAAAGAGATTTTATTTATTTATTTATTTTTCTCTGAATAATTTGATTTTACTAACAAATATTGGTCAGTGCATGTTTGAACAGGGTAAAACAATCTTCTAAAAAATGCGAATTTTAATGGCGATTTTAGGAGCCTGTATGGCACAGACAAGAAAAAAACTGCAGGGGTGGGCTGCCACAGAGGAAGGAACCAACATTCTCCGCTAAGGTAATAAATAAATAATAAAGCTTTCATTCAGGCAAGGAGACGGGAAACTTCGAACTGGCGCACACTTTGTGGGTTGCCCTGCACAACCAGTGCTTTGCAAAGGTCTCCTAAATGTGCACCTCTCTAAGCAACCTGCCGTAGGGTGAGAAGAATCCACGCTCACAATCCTCAAGCCACCTGTGCCAAAAACTCATGAGAGCAGGCACCCTCTAATCAAGGACACATTGGATGGCTGTGGAGGAACGGCACTTCTCTTCCATCCTGTTAACACCCCAACCTCCCTTTCCTCCCTCACAGACAGCCGGCTTGGGACACCACCTTCCCGCCTTCCCGCTGTAGACGGAGGGGTGGCAGAGCAGCAGGGAGGACATGGGGCGGAGGGAAGGATCTGATTAGCTGCCTTCTTTGCACTTAACAGGAGAGTTTTACATAGTGCAGGCTGCGGGGGGGGGGGGGCGGTGGTGACTGAATGGCCCAAGGTGCTTGTGGCTCAGGCCATGATTCAGTGGCATTTCCAGAGCCCCCATAAGGTTTGGTGGAAAGAATGGATTCTACAAAGTGACCCTTTCACCTCCACAAATGCATCTTGGCATGTGCCCCGTGCCCCTGACTACACACACACACACACACACACACACACACACACACACACCACCACATACACTGCATATACATATACAATCAACACACACACTCACAACACTTAGACACACCACACACAGACACACACATACACACACTGCATACACATACACACATATACCACACACACACACACACACATCATATGTACACATATGCATACACACAGACATACCACATACATACTTACCACATACCCTGCACATACACCACACACACACACACACACACACACACAGAATATTGTCGGTTATCCCAGGACCGTCTTTAGACTCCTCTGATAGCCATTCTTGTGGAGCTCTGAGTCTGATCTGATCTCCTTTTGACAAGCAAGGGAAACCTTTGAAATGTATCAAGGGATCAGTAGCTTCCACCAACCAGAATGTCATGAGACCCATGCCCCTCTTTGCTGGAACACACCTACTGATGTTTCCTCTAATGTATTTGAAAAATACCTTGATTGAAGGTTTTCTTTGTTCTACGACACTTCATCAGACTGCAACTGCTTTGGAGCATGGTATCTGGGGAGCCTTGGATCTGTTTTCCTGGGCCTTAGTCAGGTATATTCGGCTGCAGAATAACCATGTTCTATTATTCCCTGTGTTGTGAGGGCAGGGTTGTTTGGATTTTGATTGACACTGCCCTTCTTCTATTTGGCCTGGCTCCTCAGAAGCCTCCAGGATGTAACCGATGCAGCAAAAGGCTCACCCACTTCCCTCCTAACTCAGCAGGAAAGAAGAGGGAGAAAAATTGTTCCGTCTCCAGTCACAAGCTAGAGGAAAAAGCAGATCACCCAACATGGGCTCCTTACCTGGTAGTTTCTTACCTTTGTGTCCTGGCTTCAGTTGGCTCCAGCCAGCACCACTACCAACACAGCGAGGAGTGAAGGAGCAGCCGAGACATCATTGGGGCTGGCAGCATCTCGAAGGTCAGTGGCACGCCCTGGACCCACCATAAAGTGAGTAGTCATTTTGTGACCTAGGATTCTTCCGCCTCTGCTCCCAGATCCTCAAGTGGATGGCTGCCCCGTTTTCTCACCAGAGGCAGCAGGGACTTTGATATCATGGGTTTGTTGTCTCAGGTGGCAGGTGAACTCTGGTTCCTGTCCAGGAAGAATCCAAATAGACACCCAGGTCTGGTAGGTCCCATCCCCACTGGGCAGGATGGTCCTAGGCCCAAAGGTCTGCTGCTGTACTGGCTTCCCATCCCGAAGCCAGGCCAGGGTGGCCACAGGAGGACACAGATTAAAAGCCCAGCATGTCAGGGTGATTCTGCCCACTGGGTACCTTCTGCTGGTCACCTTCACCTCTGGGAGGCCTGGGAGAGGATGAGGAAGAGGCAGTGAATGGTGAGATGAGGGGGGCAGAAACGAGACAACCACACTGTGCACTTTGCCTCCAACCTGCACCCCCAGGAAGTGTGCCCAGCGGCTAGAGGGCTGCGGAGGCCAGCAGACGGCTCCAGCGATGCTCTCCACCATCAGGCCCTCATCTGCCAGAAGACGTTGTCAGAGGCCAGAAGATGGACCTTCCGGCACATGTGTAGATGACTTTGTTGCCGTGGAATAATCCTCTTGTACACTGTAAAGGTTTGTCACTCGAATTGGTTTTAACAAAATGCTGACTGGCCAGTAGCCGGGCAGGAAGTATAGACAGGGCGGCCAAACTAGGGGTGATGGGAAGGAGAGGGTGGAGTCAGGGGTTGTCCGCCAGATGCAGAGGGAGCAGGAGAGAGCCATGGCAATGAAAGCACTGCCACTGGGCAGAATGTAAGTAAGGACTATGGGCTGACTTAAGACGTAAGAGCTAGTTAGTAATAAGCCTGAGCTATCGGCTGAGCATTTATAATTCATATTCAGCCTCCGAGTCGGTTACTTGGGACAGGGTGGTCGGGACAGGAAATGTCCGATTGCACTTTGTAGGGACAGTGGGTGTCTCTAGTCAGCACATGGCTGGCAATCTGACTTTTTATCTTACACTAAGTTGGTGTCTAGTAACTCCAGGAGACAGAGAGGGACCGCCAGCTGTGGCTTTAATTCTCTGGCTCACGAGGACTTTTGACTGATCACCAGTGTCTTTACTCCCTACCCCAACCCCATTCCTAGGGCCCTTTCATTCTTTCAGTTTCCAAGGAGAAAGGGCCACCTTACAGGGGCCTGGCAGAGCTGTGCACACCTGTGATCCCAGCGTTCAAGAGGCGGATGCAGGATCTTGAGTTCGAAGCCAGCCTTGGCTATGCAGTGAAGCCTTGCCTCAAGGAAAAGAAAACTTAACCAACCTGCTCATGGGGCGTGGGTTGGGTAGCCTGCATTTGAATCTGTAGGCCAGGTCCATGGTTGGATCCTTCCGTCTTACCTTAATTCTGACCAAGCAAGCATGACTCCTTCTTACCACCTAAGCCCAGTTGTTTGTATTGAGCTTTCTCTCCTTCTGGACCCAGAACATTCCAGAAAAAGATGCTGATAGAGAGACAGATCCCCTTGCTCCTGTCTGCTGGGGTCTGGTATAAGATCCAGGTAACATCTGGGAGCTCCCTCTTTTCCCATCCGAGGGACCCGGCAGTGGATCTGGAGGAAAACCTACACCCCAACTTCCAGGCCCCACCTTAGACTGTGCCACGCATGTAAACACCAGTGAGAACCAGACCCCCCCCCAAAAAAAGTATCATGGAAGGAGCCATTTGGCCACAGGGATGTCCCCCTGGGTGCTGGGAACCAAGCCTGTTGATGGTTAGTACCTGTATCCATTGAAAACTTCCTCAAGAAGCCCAGGTATCCCTGGAGCTGAGCAGGACACGTGTCCTCCAAGAAAGCCTTAACCCTGTCAGCTCTGGGTGCATGTGTCTCCCAGGCCATCTGCTGGGAGTAGGGCACAGCCACTGTCCACGTGGGAGTCTTCTGGTCAAAGGTGAGGGAGTCCTGCCCGTCATAGGCAAAGCGCCAGAAGCTTCCAGTGCTCCGGTTTTCCTGAAGCTCACAGCCCAAAGTTTCCTGTAGGGTGTGAGAGCCTGGCCCACCCCAGGCAGGGACCTGTCACCCTGTTGTCCCTTGACCTTAACCCCCCCCCAGACTTTGGTCTAAAAGAGACGTATCCAGTGCTCTGTCCCATGGGAGCATTTTTGCTTTATTCCATTAAGTCGGCCATGCCCTGCCCACAATCAAGGCTTAGGGATCACAGATGGGACCTGTGTATCTCTGGCCCTGCACACTCACCCTCATTATGGCCCTGCTGGGTCATGACCTCGGTTAGCATTCTCCTGAGTTGTTCCTCCTTCTCCTGAAGGTCCTCAGTCTCTCTTGTCCAGGTCTCAGGTCCTGCATGCCCCTTGATTCTGGGCCCACAGGCCTCTGCTTTTCTACTGTCTCCCTTGTAGCATAGGAAGAGCTCGTCATCAACGTATACCAGGATTGGGTATGGGGGCTGCCAAGAGTTTTCTGGAGACAGGACTGTGAGTTCATAGTGCAGGGTATGGGTTTCTGAGGAAGGGAGGGAGGGAGGGAGTGAGTGAGGGACACAGGTGACAACTTGGTGGTTTCCACAGGCAGACTGTGCTGCCCCGTGGGTGTGAGAAGCCAGTGGAGTGCTTTGTTACAGCGTGAAGGAGAATAGAAGGGAGGTGTTAGGAGTGGGCGGTTAGGAAATCCCGTCTCCCCACCAAAGGGTTTGAGAGTGGAAATGAACACCCGTTCTAAGCAGGCCTTTTGAGACAGCGTTTCATACAATTATTGAGATGTTTGCTGGGTCCAATAGGTGCAAAATATTCTGAGAAACAGCTCTGCAACTTATTCCCAGATAATGACCTGTAGATGTTGGTAATTTGAAACTCATAGAAATGAATGGAAATAGAGCCAGTGCAAAAGAGGGAAAATAACATCCCCGTTAGCAGGGCGGGCCTGGGCCCTGCTCCCAGTGGATGATGTGACAAGCTTTGATGGTCCCTCTCGGAGGGCCTTACCCTCCCTGGAGTGTGGTAGGGGAATGGGATGGGGGGGACCTCTAGGGGGTGTGGGAGGATGGGAGGGAGAGGGAACTGGGATTGATAGGTAAAACAATCTTGTTTCTAAATTTAAGTTGAGAGAGAGAGAGAGAGATCTGTCAGTTAATTTTCAAGAGGGAATACAATGTTTTGCTTGGATTGGGGTGGAAGGGTAGCACATGCCTTTAATCTCAGCACTTGGGAGGCGGATCTCTGAGTTCTAGGCCAGCCTGGTTTATATAGCGAGTTTCAGGACAGGCAGAGCTGTTGCACAGAGAAACCCTGTCTCAAAACCCCCACCACAAAAAAGGAAAAGAGGAGAGAGACAAGGGTGGGGTGGGGTCCTGTTGAACACATTCCACCGGCCTTGGCAGGGTAGGGAGGAGAGACTCTGAAGCTGCCCACAGCCCTCTGGCTTCAAATGGCCCCATCCCCGCTGTTTTAGCTGCCTGAGGTCTGCTGAATGCAGAGAGCAGTGTCTGATGCTACGGGTCCCAAGGAATGGTGGCTGGGCTAAGCTGCTGTAGCATGAGCTAGGGCTCAGCTTCCCGAGAGCTTAGTTTTTATTTCCTGTTTGTTTGTTTTCCCTCAAAGCAGGACTAACTCAACGTAGATTGACCAGCGGTCCCTTCACATGGGGAAAAAATTAAAACAGGCCAAACTTCTAGTACAGGGATACTCGCAACTGGTATATAAAGGACCTGAACTGGTTTAATTTAATCACATTTCCTGAGGTATTTCAGTATATAGATGTCATTCTCCTCCCCTGCTCATCTAATCAATACTTAGATGGATGCTTAACTCTCACAGTAAGAAAAGTAAAAGAGCAAAATTTGAAGTTTTGGGCCATATCAATCCGGTGCCCGTGTCCTCTGCTCCCCCGGACATGGTTTCTCTGTGTAGTCCTGGCTGTCCTGGAACTCATTCTGTGGACCAGGCTGGGCTCAAACTCAGAGATCCTCCTGCCTCTGCCTCCTGAGCACTGGGATTCAAGGTGTGCGCCCCACATGCTCCTGGGCAGGGCATACTCTTACCTACCTAGCACTGTTGGGGATGCAACTCTGCTCTTTTAGTTGCCTTTGGAATCCTTTAGATTCTCTAAAAAAAAAATATCGGTGGGGGGATGTCCTTCCGTACATTCGTTTCTCTTACTGTTGGCCAATAAGGCAGGAAGATGGGTAGGAGTAGGAGACAAGGAGAATTCTGGGAAAGGTAGGCAGAGGAAGCCTGCCAGAACAGTCATCATGTAGAGCTGGGAAGAAAGGACTCGTGTTCTCCAGTAAGATAAGACCATGTAGAAATAGTAATAATTAAGACAGAGCTAGACAATAAGAAGCCCTAGTCATCAGCCAACAGCTTTATAATTAATATAGTGTCTCCGTGTATTTATTTAGGGCGAGGCTGCTGCAGGACCAGACTGTAGGGAGAGAACCTCCGCAACAAAACGTAACACCCGAAGCAGAGCAGGTTGTTGGGTTATTAAATAATGATGCTAAAGCTGTAGCTCATAGAATCACTCCCCTGTCAATCAACCATCCTTTCTCCTCATCACCTGCTGAACCATCTATCAACAAGGTAATGGTATTATAGAACTTTATGTATATCATAATTGTCCACAATGCGCTGCAACTCCTTATCTATTAGAAATTATAGACTTAACAGTAACGGGAAGGGTCTACCTTAATTTATTGACAGAACCTACAGAAATCGTTGTGCCATTAAGTAAAGTGCAGGTTGATTATTTGTTGGGTGAATTAAAAAAAAAAAAAGATGAAAACGAGAGGACGTGACTGGAGAAGGTTTATTGTAGATAAGAGGGAGAGCACAGTCAGAGGCAGGGAAGTCTGGGAGAGTCCACAGCAGACATGACCCTGAGGCAGCCGCATGAGGGGAGGGAGGAGGGGAGAGAGAGGGAGAGCCAGAAGACCAAGAGGCCAAAAGGGTAAAATAACAGAACCTAAATCCCCGCACACTATGCTACATTTAGCCATGCCAACTGTGGTGGTTTGAATAAGATTGGCCCTATAGCTTTCACATATTTAAATGGTTAGGGAGAGGCATCAGGAGATGTGGCCTTGTTGGAGGAGTTTGAGGGTTTCAGATGCCCAAGCAAGGTGCAATGGCTTTCTCTCTTCCCGCTGCCCGTGGATCTGGATGTAGAATTCCCACATCCTTCTCCAGCACCACGTTTCCCAGCTATTAGTCTTCGGAGTTCGTAAAGCCCCCGCCCCCTCTCCTCCACCCCGCCCATTTTCCTCTCCTTCCTCTCTTTCCCTGGCTCTGGTCAGACTTCCTCGGTGCCCCTCACCCCGCCCCTCACAGGATCGATCGATCAGGACTCAGCCCAAAGCTACTCACCCCTGTGGCAGGATTGCTTCGAGTTCCATATGAGAGAAAGTGAGACCCACAGGAAGACCGCGGATTTTCCAGAACTGGCTTTCATTTTTTCTTTTTCCTCCCTCTCTGTGGTAAACAAGCTGGTCCTTCCACAAGCCCCACCCACAGCTTTCAGCAAAGACAGGCCTATAAGGCTCCGGGTGTTGCTCTGTCTCTCCGATGAGTAGTTCATTTCTGCATGTCTAAGAAGCCCAGATATTCCTTACACCAACACATGCCTTGTAATATTTTCAAATGCATCACAACATAAGAAGCTTGAGCACACATAACGCTGAACACACATTTGAAGGATGTTAAAAGGGTGGAATCCTTGCACCCGGGGCAATAAATCTTTGGCCAGGGCAAAACGGGAAGTGAATGTGTGTGATGAGCCCAGCCCGGGACAGTAACTAACTGCCTGACTGTACTTCCCTCTTCCCTTTCCACCTTCCACCTCCCCTCTGCCCCCATGCTCCCAATTTCTCAGGAGATCTTGTCTGTTTCCCCTTCCTAGGTGGATCTAGGTCCGCCTCTCTTGGGGTCCTCTAGGTTCTCTGGGGTTGTGGCTTGTAGTCTGGTTTGTCTTTCGTTTTATGTCTAATAACCACTTTCAGATGATTTTTAATTTTATCTCATTTCCACGTGCATTCACTATAGCTTAAAGGAGTAAGACAGATGTGTGCAAATCCAGCAGGGCACTGTAGAGTTCACTGATGTTGTATTGCTTGCACTGCATCTCCTAGGTGCAAAACCACAGCTTCTGAAGCATTTAAGGAAGCTCCTGTGTTTTTTTGTCTATACATTCTTGTGTCACTGAAGCCACAGAAGTATCATAAGCAAGCAGATGAACAAAACTGGCAGTTTGCACGTGTTGGGTTGACATATTTGGAGGGGTTACACAAGCACTGAGTCCAATATGAAAGGGTGCCCGTGTCACAACTGTTCATCATCTCCAAAAGTCCCGTAGATACTTGCGCTGTCCAGGGCTGTGGCTAACAGCCAAAGCTTTGGCTGAACAGTCCCCTCTGGAGACAACATAGCACAGCAGGTCTTAATATGTGGGGCACGGCCCTTTCACAGGGGTCACGTAAGACCGTTGGAAATATCAGATACTTACATTACAATTTATAACAAGAACAAACTTCCAGTTAAGGAGTAGTAAGGAAAATGATTTTGTGGTTGGGGGGTCACCATGACATCAGGAACTGTGTCAAAGCATTTGGGAGGTTGAGGGCCACTGCAGGCGCTGGATGTAGCCTACAAAGCTGTCCTAGGAAGTGATCTTCATCCAGACCAGGTGAGCACCTCCGTGACAAGTCAGTCAGCACTTCAGGCTGTTCACCCAGAGCGACAGAGTCCTTTAGAGCCTTGGAGCACACCATTCAAGGGGAATTCCATTTGCAAGCCTGGTATGAGAGTCTCATTGCTCATTGGGAAATTTCTGTCCTGAGGGTTATGAAAGACTGGAAAACTCAAGTTTGAAAAACTGTGCAGTGGATTCCTCCCAGTCCCCCAGATTAGAGGGACACATTGTTACTGACTCACCCATGACTAACAGGAATGGTGGATGATATCCCTGTGTAGTTAAGGAAGGCAGTGTGGATAACACAAGAGAAACATCCATAACGGTTGGACATGTGTAAAAAGCAATGTGTAAAAAGCCAGGTATTTTAAAATAAACCTTGATTTGTCATACATTATTCATTTTTTTTTGTAATGGCTAATCTTGGACCTTAGAAATTTCAATATTACATGTACCTTTTAAAAGTCTTTTCATAATTTTTATGTACTTTAAGTAACTTACTCATACCTTTATAACTTATAAAAAACTTACCAAGGTTTTTTTTTTAATGTTATCCATTTTGTAAACATATCTGTTATGGTGGAAGATTCACCCCAGCCCCTGGCATCTGTATACCCAAAGAGTTTGGGATGTTATGGTGCACATTCCACTCAAGCCCCCTCCCCTATTTCTATCCAAACCCTGCTGAATCTCACAAAGCCCACCAAATGATGACCCCTCCCCCAGAGACACTCAAGACAGCTCCCAAGGGGTATTTAAAATGTCCTCCAGGAAATGAATGTGTGGTTTTTCTGGTCTCTCTTTCTTGTCTCCTCTCTGTGGGAGGGGTTGGAAGTCCATGGAGCATTGTTTCCATTAAATGTGGGCTTTTTCCAATTTGTTTTGATTTGGTCTGATATGGATTGCTGTATCGGTGGAGAGGCTTATCAGGGTACAGAAACTTTTCAATATCTATCCTAATCTTTATATATAAGTCCTTATTTATAATTTTAATATTTTATATATTTATTAAAATATTTTAATCTCATATCCATATTTTATTATTTGATAACATATCTTTTTATAACCATGTAGGTAGATCTCACCTTTTTTATTTTAAGGTAGGGAGACAGCAGTTATTAATTTAGAAGATAGGGCAGAAGCCCTGTACAAAAAGCCTTAACAAAAAGCCATTTGGTTATTAGCTTGCATTTAAAATGATAGTAGAGGTAAAAATTTCTTTTAAAAACCTTTACATGCTTGTATTTTTGTGTATATATATATATATATATACATATATATATATATATATGACTTATTTAAAGGCACAGACATAAGTTACAGTTCAAGGGGACAAGTGTGTCCAGGATGGAGTAGGAGACATTAAGACCCAGCAGAGGGACCTTAGCAGCTGTAATTGTCCTGGAATTTTCTGTTGAAATCTGTCAAAGCTAGCTTTCTTTCTTGGTATGTTAGTGTTATCACATAGAAACTGTATCGAAATTCAAACAAAGCCTTAAGATAACGTACATACACGTATTCTTATTTCAGGGAAGCTGAGAGAGAGAGCCAGTTAAGAAATAAAGATTAGCGGGACATTGGAGGCAGAGGCAGGCAGAGGTCTACAGAGCTAGTTCCAGGACAGGCTCCAAAGCAATACAGGGAAACCCTGTCTCGAAAAAACCAAAACCAAAGCCCCCCCCCCCCGCCCCCAAGAAGAAAGATTAGAGGATGGGAGGAGAAAGATTTAACTTTTCAAGTCTCTCTCAGGAAAGGTACCAGCTCCGTTTTAACTTTAACTGTGTGTATCTTGAGCTTCTTCCTTTTTTTCCTCCTTTTCCCGAGGGGCCTGTCTGACTCCATTAAGCACAGACCGAGAAAAAAAGCTTGCTTGAATTCCACACTCTTGAGTCAGCGTCTCAGACCGAACCTAATAGGTTAAGATGATCTAGACACAGCAGCTGCTCTGTTTTCACCAGACGGCTCATTAGTCCAATGAGTATCTCAGCTGAGCTGGTAAAACCTGCCCTGTGAAAACCATGAAGCCGAGTTCGTGAGAGATTGCACAGCAGGGCTGGACGCTGTGGGCTGAGCCTGGAGTCTGCCAGGTTTCACTGCGCCCGGGTCTCCTCCACTGTCAAATCCCCTGCTGCAGAAGAGGAAAATCCGGGGGGGGGGGCAAGGAAAGCAAAAGCAAGCAGTTCCTCTTGCCCCCAAATACTCCAGCTGGGAGCTCAGACCCCTCCCCTCTGGCTTTCACAATTGAAGCAGAGAAAGCATTAACAGGGGCCTTCATAACCATGTGTGTTGAAATAGGAGGGAAACTTTGCTCAGCTACAGGAGTAGGAGACATTCCCGGTGATCTGAAAACTGTATCCTCAAAGGGGGTGGGGGGAGAGATGGGGGTGCTTGCTTCCTTCTCCATCCTTTCGATCACGACCACCGGAAAACACGTATTTGCGATGGTCTTAGGAACGAACTCTCAACCATAAATTCGTTTTCATTACTACTTCATAACTTAAATTTTGCTACTGAATGGGGTCTCAGTCTGAGGCAACATAAAACAAAGTAATTCAGTGGACACCACTTCCTTCTCAGGACTTTCATCTTTTTTTTTTTTTTTTTGGTTTTGTTTTGGTTTTTGTTGTTCGAGATAGGGTTTCACTATATAGCTTTGGAGCATGCCCTGGAATTCGCTCTGTGGACCAGGCTAGCTTCAAACTCACAAAGATCCGCCTGTCTCTGCTGCCTGAATGCTGGGATTAAAGGCGTGTGCCACCAACACCTGATTATTTTATTTTTCAAATCTTCCGTCCTGATGTCTGTTTTGGAGTAGAGCAGATTCACAGGGGTATTGATCTACAACTAACTATCTTCATGCCGTGGGTCTGAGTAGTCTGCTTTCCGATTCCAAAGCACAAACCCATCAATATGAAACTATTTCTTAAAAAAAGTTATTTATTTTTTAAAATGTAAGATTACTGTCTTTCCTTACAAGAGGAACCCTTCAGTAAACTTTCCATGTACAATCAACCCCTTTTCATATTGGGGACACATTGAAGTTAGCATCATGGAAGTTTTATTTAGCTTCAGATTTTGAACGATCAATACAGATGTCAAATTACTACACAAGACACCCGCAGGGACTTTTTCCATAAAATATTTTTTTTTGAAACGTCCACAAACATTGAGACCACGATGGCACGTGAGCTCTGACCAGCAAGGCCTTTCAATACATTCTGCAGCATCAGATTTGAGTGGGAGCTGGGGTGGGGCAGTGGAACTGGAGTTTCTTTCCCAGAAGGTCCTGCCCATCTTAAGCCCCACCCAAATAAGCGCACAGAGACATAGATTGATTTATAAAATGTTGGCTGATGACTAGGGCTTCTTATTGGCTATCTCTTAATTAGTAACCGATTTCTGTAAATCTATGTATTTCTATGTGCGTGGTCTTGGCTTGCCAGAGAATGCCCTGACCTGTCACTCCTTTGGCGGCCATGTGGCACCTCTCAGCAGCCTCTCTGCCTCTCCCCCACATTCTCCTCATCTCCTAGCAACGCCTATCTTCCTGCCTCTATTCATTAGACATAAGGACATCCCCCATGAGTTGCAGTGGGAGACTGCACTGATGGGTAGGGATGATTTTCTTCAGAACTTCTCCAATCGTTTTAATATCAGCACTGATACTCAGTATGCTGTTTGGGACTGGAACACTGCCATTGGAGTCTGTTCAGTGAGCCTTAATAACTTTGCCATCCTTTCTAGTCACTGCCCTGAAGCAAAATGTGCACTTCAACCAACCATCTCATCTGCTTTTCTAGATCTTTCCTTTTTTTTTTCCTTATTTTTTCTCATTTTACATATCGATTCCAGTTCCCTCTCCCTCATTGTATCCTAAAGGCGGAGGCCCCAGGTGTATCCTCAATACCAATTAGAGGCACGATAGCAGGGGTGGTGGTAATTTTAAAAGGTAATTTTAAGAGGATTACACCAGCATTTTGTGAGAGAGGATGTGTGGCATCCTCAGGGGCCTGGACAGTGTAAATTGAGTCATAATTACTTACTAATGCAGGGTTGGTGTTATGAGGGTATCCAGCAGTGACTGTGATGTAGTCCCAACAAGAGGAGGGTTTCCAACAGGCCTCACCTGTGGTTTCACAGCCCCGGTTTTGCAGTAATAATCAGAGCTGCCTCCACATTTATGTAAGAGGCTGTGGTCCCGATGGGGGCCCTGGCGTACATAAAAGGTGTATCTCTGCATGACTGCCAGTCGGCTTGGATGGGAGCAGTCAGCGTAGGCATAGGCAGGGCCCTCAAAGTTGATGGATGGTTCAGCTGACTGATCAAAGAGGTCCTCAGTGTCCCACTGGGCAGCAGCACCTAAGGCCAGTTTGCACAGATCAAGGTTAAGTTGTTCAGGACACCAATGGATATTATGGACACGAGAGGTGGACCAGACCATGTCTCCTCTTTCAGAGAGGACCACCCAAGTATAGTTCCAAGGGATGTGGCGGCTCGGTCTGTTTACGGAAGGCCTGTGAGGGAGGGTGACATCACGGGGCTGAAAAGGGGGTCAAGAGAAGAAAGAAAATGGTCAAAAGGGAGTTAGACGTCCATCCAGGTGAAGTTTGCCAAGCTGATGGCTGAGTCTTCATAACTGTTGTTATTCTTAAGCGCATCTTTATCCGAGAAGAGAGAGACATCTCAGGAGCAGGTGATTGCTCCCGTGAGAACATTAGGTCATTAGAGGATAGCAGTAACTTGTTTAACAAACCTCTCAGGCAGCCATTTGGGGGCATCGTGTTGCTGATCATAAATGCAGGCTAAGCCTCATATTTTTTTAAAAGAAGAATAAATGCCTGCTTTGTGCCATGTTTGTATTCTGGGGAATGTGGTAGGGTTGCTGCTGGGAAGGCTGGTATCGACCCATTTGCCCTGGGGATCGAGGTCGGGGGTGGGGTGGTGGTGGTGGTGGTGGTGGCTACGGAGGCTGCCTCTGTCTGAAGTTTCCTGGCTCCCTAGGCAGGAGTGGACGGCCCTGAATATCTGTTTTGGAGTGGCATTCGTTTTTCCAATGCTGCCCACGCATGCAGCTTGGACAGAGAGTAGTCGTGGGAGCTGAGACTGTGGGGTGGGTAGCTGATTAGGGGGCATCTGCCTGGGGGCCAGAAGGGGCCAGCTCATCAGGAGTCTCCTCTGAGTGCTCTTCCACTACATCCTCAAGGGGGGAGCTAAAGCGGAAAGGCTAGAAGTGGCTGCTTACTTTTGGGCTTAGGTGGTCCGGAGAGAGCTGGAGGTCTAAATCCCTAAATTTGGTCAGAAGCTGAATCTATTGTTCTCAATTGTTAATCATAGTTTTAAAGATATCTATATTATGAACAGTCTGAGATCAGTGTGTAGCAATCTTGCCGTGAAGAAAAATTAAATCCTGGGGGGGGGGTTGTTTCATAGGAAGCCGGGGTGAAAGGAGGCAAGCTTTTAGGCAGGGATTAAGTCTGGGGTGGAGGAGGAGGGGTGGAGGCCAGAGTCATCTTGACGTGGCTAACCCAGTAACTGAAGGCCAGTCGGGGTTATGGTAATGAGCAGCCTCCTCCTTCAGCGTGGCTTCCTCCATTGGGTCTAAAGGATGTTCCTGGGAATGGGAGATGAGGAGGTAAAGAGCTTGCTGAGGACTCTCCTCAGGGCCCATGGGAATCTTAATTTCGGAGCATTTATTTTGGGGCAACGCTGCACGCGGTGTGGGGGGCCGAGAAGAGCGTTTGGCGGGGTCCAAGTCTAAGGAGGGCGTGGAGGATTTTCTCTCATTGGCCGGTGCTGGTGGTCTGCTCCCTATTTCAGAATTGCAGCAGGGAAATCTGCTGGAGGGGTTTCCCCTCCCTCTTTTATCAAATCTTGAAGAGCAGGACAATGATTATTAACCCGAATAATGTCATTAATAAGATCCCAATAGCTAAACGCACTAACAGGGACCTTTTCAGGTCCGAAAGTTTCATTGTAATCTTGCATACAATTGCCCACTCTGGCCCGTTTCTTTCCATTAATCGTTCCTTCCTGTGGAAACCATGGAAAAGTGTCTCCAATGAAGAGGAAAAAAAATTTTTAAGTGTTTTTCCTTAACCCGACCCCCGTGTCCTGAGAGATTCTTTGATCCCAGAAAGAAACAACTCTTCCTTGCTAAGTTCTTGCCCCATTACTCACCTCTGCCTCAGGTGGTGCTCATGAACCAGAAGACTCTATGGAAGGCAGAGTCAGGCGATCGATGAGTCGTTCTCCTCCGCAGCCTGCGAGGAACGTGTCGCAGAAGCCTCACTGTGTGCACGGGCTGGTCCCTTAATGAACCCTGAAGTCCTCCTCCCGGGGTCTTCGAGACACCTTGAGGGCGCCAGTTGCCCTCACCCGCGAGGCTTCAACCTAGAACCCAAAGACTCAAGAGAAGGAAATGGGAGCAAGAGACGCGGGGAATTGACCATAAGACAGGATTCTGATCAAGTGGCAAATTTTATTTTTCTACCTGGAGCTTGTATAGTCAGCAGAGCAAGGAGGTAGGAAAGGGGGCAGGGGAGGTCAGAGACTGGTTGAGGACCAGGTGTTCTTGCAAGCAGAATATAGAAAATCACAAAGAGTGGACGTGGACATGGGTGGAAAGATCAGGAGATATGAGAGCAAGAAAGGTTACTATGGTGATGGGGCTAGTGGTTATACGCTAGGCTGACCTTGCTAAATAGGGCTAGTTACTAAACCATCAAACGTTTGTGATATAACTGACGGCTCTAAATGTACAGCCAAGAGAAACAGCCAGAGTTCAGCCAAGGTTCGTCCCATAACTGATCATAGACACAGCCTCAGTTTTCAACACCCTCCATTTGCTTTCGTGATCTCCATGACCCAGAAAGAGCACCCACAGCTTTGAAACATGCTCATGTTTCTTCATCCCAAATACTCCTAGCTCTTACTGTGTCACACCCGACGATTAGCTTCTGCTCTGATTCCATAAGAAGCAGGTGATGGATGTCCCTGGGAGGCCTGTCCTGAGTCGGGATGACACTGTTTCATTAACTCTTCACAATGTCTGTGGAGGACATCTCAGCATCACCGGGCTCAGGACCTGGGAAGTGGGGAAAGTAAAACCCAGGGTAGACATCTTTGAGCTGTGCCCTGGATCTTAGTGGACGCCAGTACTTGTGATGACCACAGCAAACATTGAGGGACACTCACTTGGAGAATGGAAAGTTTCCTTTGAGACCTCCCTGTGGAGGAGGATGCCTTAGCAAGTTTGAGACAGTGTCCTAGTTAGCATTGAATGTCGCCTTTACACAGCCCAAAGTCACCTGAGGCGGGGGGGGGGGTAGGGGGAAGGGAAGAGGGAGAGTTTCAACCGAACAACTGGTCTTTATCCTTTCGGGCTGTGGACATGTCTGTGATGGATTGTTTTAATTGGTGCAGGAGGGCCCAGGGCACTGTGGGCAACACCATCCCTAGGCAGATGGTCTTAGGTAAGAAAGCTAGCTAAGTGTAAGATAGAGAATAGAGCGTGAGCCAGGGAGTTAGCTTTCAAGACACACGTTTTTGCCTTGACTTCCTTCATTCCTTCACTGTGACCCAAACTTGGAAGGGAAATGCATCCTTTGCTCTCCTGAACTGTTTTTGCACAGGGTATTTTTTCTTTTAATCACACACAACTAGGGTAAGAAATCTGTACGGTATATAGGGCACAGCAGATGACACATCTATCTGAGTCAGCATTCTCTGTTCTCAACAGCAGAGCCCCTTTGCACTCCATGGGCAGAGAGCTTGAATGACTTAGACACCAGAGATTGGGCAGCAGGGGTAGGTGCAGCCGATGCATTAGTGTTCTCTCCTAAGAGTCTGAGGGAAAATGCCCTTGGACTTTCCTCTGAAATGTCCTGAGCACAAGGCTCCTCCTGCTGAAAGCGCCCTTCCTCTGGATTCACACTACCCCCAACTTTAGTCCAGCGCTTCCCAGGACAAATCTGGAACCCTGTCTAGACCCATCCTATCGGAGAAGGAATGAGGAGTCCTGAAGAGCACAGTGATCAGGATGACAGGCTCTGCATCCCACCTGTGCTGAATGTATCAGAGAAGCATACATTTGACTTGTTGTCCATGCTCGCTGTAGCCATAGACAAGAGGTTGCAGTTCTCCCAATGATCTCCAGGGGGTGATATTGGAACACACACTCAGCAATCTGAAAGTCTCTGAACCATGACCTTGGCTTGTAGATTGGTTCCCATCCCTGTCCTGACTAACCCAGAGCTCCCTCTGGACACCCTGCTCTGCTTCTTGTGTCTAAGAGAATCTTGCCCGGGGGGAACAAGAGAGTCAGCTCCCTCCTGGTATCTCCCAAAGGGAAAGACAGGATTATCACAGGGGACTCAGCCAGGCAGAGGGCAAAGGTAACCCAAGACAACCAGGGAGGACATGGGCGCACCACAACACATAGGTCAGCTAACACACAGTGCTGGAATGCTGCCTTGAAACCATCCGTAGAAAGAAGGAGCCTACAGTGCCTTCAAGGACACATAGATCACCTCTACTCCACCACTGAGAACATGGGACTCCCCACAAAACTGCTCTGGGGCCCCCACCCTGGATCAGAACTTTGACTGGTGACACTTGTGATCCAGGATTGATCTTCATCCCTATCGATCATTCTGCTGGTCTCTTCCTCACCTTCAGAGGCATCTTCGTCCCTTTCCTGCAGGGATTAAGTAAGTGCATTGGGACTGAGCACTCAGCTGAGTCTCTGTGTCACAAGGCCACATAGGCAGAATGGGGGCTGCTGACAGACCTAAGGCCAAGATACAGCAGATGTCAGCCCTGTGATGAGCGACCCTTCTCTGAGGGCATGGGGATGCTTATCAGCATTGTTGCTCAATGTGTTGCTTGGAGAAGAAACATAAAGGGAGGATGAGAGGGATGCAGGGACAGCATAGTGCCTTGGACACAGACTCACAACCCGCTGCTCGCTCTTTGGATGTGGGAAGTCCTCCTGCCTGGGAGGACACTCAGCTCAGAGGGCAGGGGGACAGCGGAGACTGAGCATCTTGCCAGAGGGCGGGGAGCTGCACAGGAAAAGCAGAGATGGGGCGGTCCTCAGTGCTTCTCTGCAAACAGAGCACACCCCGGCAGTGGCTCCTGCTCACAAGTAAGTGAACCCACTCTGTGTGGGGAGGGGACACAAAAGCAGGCAGCAGTGTCCTAAACAGGACAGGCACCTGAGATGAGACTCAGGTTTACTGTTTGCCGTTATGGAGCAGAAGGTACAGCGAGGGACAGGCTCAGGAGTCTCGGCTCTCAGTGGCAGGAGGTGATGCCGGGAAGAGAAGAAACTCAGACATTCAGTATTCACAGACAATTACACTGGCTGCAATGTTCTGAAGCCCGATGTCCCCAGCCATGACAGTTTGACTCTCCCAATAGAAATTAAGCAGGGGCGGACCCCTGAGATGGCTCAGTGTGTGGGGACATGGCAGCCTGAATTTAGCCCTCAGCTCCCACCTGGTAGATGGAGAGAACAGACTCCTGCAGCCTCTTCTCTGCCTGTCACACAGGTGCTGAGGCATGCACCCATACTTTCACACACTGAGACGTTTTTCTTCGCACAGATTTGTGACATAGCCTTCACATGTACACATGGAGATACCCGCCTCTAGAAATACACACATGCAATACATGAGTGAATCTAAAACAATATAAATCACACTTGAATATAATTATTGTCATTAACTCCAAATCTTGGAATTATGTAGATAATTCCAATGAGGCACATCCTTCCTTCCTTCTTTCCTCCTCCCTCCCTCCCTCCCTCCCTCCCTCCCTCCCTCCCTCCCTCCCTCCCTCCCTCCCTCCCTCCCTTCCTTCCTTCCTTGCTTCCTCCTTCCCTCCCTCCCTCCCTTCTTTCTCTTTTATCTACTTGTATCTGCATCTTTTCCAGGAACTGAACTTTCCAAAAAGGCCAGACTCTTCCCTGTCCTCACAATGCCTTTCTTCTGTGGACCTGATGTCAGGGTATCTGCAAGATGAAGTCATGGGTTGATTGGAATCACAAAGGGGACGGAGAGAGAGGACAGAAAGTGAGGACTCTCCAGAGGAGGAGTTCAGAGAGGCATTGTTGTTACTCTATGTGAGCAGGGGCATGAGACACTGAGGGGGGAACCAGGCAGATGCCCGAGCAGAGCGTTTCTAAGGGAGTTAATGACACACGCAGACACCGGGAGTCATGCTGGATATCTATCTGTAAAGGTGGGTAGACACACTCCTAGCCCAGCATCTAAGCTGAGTGATGACCACATCTGCTCAACACGGATGTTTGTTGTTCTCCTCTAGCTTTCCTTGGGACCTGCTGCCACCTCTCCTGCACTGACTATATCACCGTCCGAACTGTCCCACCCCAAGTGGCCAGTGGAGAAAGCGTTCTTCTCTCTGTCCACAATCTGCCAGAGGATATTCTAGCCTTCGCCTGGTTCAAAGGTGTGAAAAGCATGAAGCATGGGATTGCAATATATGGGCTGCACAAGAATTTAAGTGCGACAGGGCCTGCACACAGTGGAAGAGAGACCATATATCGCAATGGGTCCCTGCTCCTCGAGCGTGTCACCGAGAAGGACTCAGGATTCTACACCCTACGATCCTTAGATAAACAGGGAGAGATTGTGTCAACAACAACCATGCAGCTTCATGTGTACCGTAAGTGATTCTTCGTGACTTCTGGGTTCTGGGTGGGGTTCGTTCTGTTGGACACGCAGGCACGCACACACAGTACAGTGACCTGAGCTTCCCTCCCCTGGGCACTGCATCCCAATTTTGGGGCTTGAGTATTCAGTGCAGGGCACACAGGGTGTAGAATAAAGGCGGCAGATCAGAATTCATCTGACTTCACCTTGAGACAGGTGGGACGTATCCTGGGTAAGTCAGCTTAGGATATCAGATTCTGTCTAGACTCTTGGGGGTTCTTACCAGGAATATATCTTGGAGAAAGACCCAGAGGGAATCAGTGTTGGGCCTGGTGGAGGGAAATTTGGGATCCTCATAGAGATGTGAGACTAAGATGCCCTGGATTCAGACCTCTGTCCCTGAATAAGTCATTGTACAAAGGCTGGATTTTGATTTCCCGATGGCAGGGGGCAATGCATTTTTAGTAGTTCAAGTCCCACATCCTGTGGAGACAGCCAGTGCTCTCTGACGAGAGGTATGGTTAGTCTGCCACTGGCCACATAACCTGCCCAATCTGCCCACTGTCACTTGGATTCAGGGCATCTAGTTTGGTCTTATGCAGGTTCCACAGCTGTCACTCCAGGTCAGTGAGCTCTCAGTAGCTCAGGTCAGCTGGTTCTGTGGGTTTCCCCATCATGGTCTTGATATCCCCTCTCTTTGATTAGATTCAAGGAGCTTGACCCGTTGGTTAGTTGTATCTCTGCATATGCTGCCATCAGTTACTGGATGAAGGTTTGACAATTATGATAGTTCTCAATCTGATTACAGGGCAAGTCTATCTCAGTCCCCCCTCTCTGACGGGGCTTAGAGTTTTATTTGGGGTCATCATTGTGCATTCTTGGGAATTTCCCTAGTGTCAGGGTTTTCTGTAATCCCCAAACGGTTTCCTCTATGAAGATATTTCTTTTCTTGCTCTCCTCTGTCTTTCCCCCAACTTCCAGTTCCCTTATGTACTCCCCCCACTCCCCTTGCATCGTCCCTCCCCCTCCCATGTTCCCAATGTACTCAGGAGATCTTGTCTATTTCTCCTTTCTAGGTGGATTCACGTATGTTTTACTTAGGGTCCTCTTTGTCCTAGGTTCTGGGAGGTTGTGGACTATAGTCTGGTTGTCTTTTGCTTTATGCCTAATATCTACTTATGAGTGAGTACACACCATATTTGTCTTTTTGGATCTGGGTTACCTCACTCAGTATGTTTTTTCTAGGTCCATCCATTTACCTGCAAAATTCAAGATGCCATTTCCCCCCCCACCGAGTAGTACTCCATTGTGTAAATACACCACATTTTCTTTATCTGTTCTTTAGTTGAGGAATATCTAGGGTTTTTTTTTTGGTTTTGTTTTTTTACAGGTTCTGGCTACTATGAAAAATACTGCTATGAGCATAGTTGAGCAAATTTTCTCATGGTATAAATCTACATCTTTTGGGTATGTGCCCAATAGAGGTATTGCTGGGTCTTGAGGTAGATTGATTCCCAATTTCTGATAAACCGCAATACTCATTTCCAAAACCCTTTCTCTATATCCTCTGTAGCATAGGATGCCATCAGTGTTTTTGATCTTAGCCATTCTGACAGGTGTAAGATGGCACCTCAGAGTTATTTTGATATGCATTTCCATGATGCCTAAGGATTTTGAGCAATTCCTTGAATGTCTTTTGGCCATTTGAGTTTCTTCTGTTGAGAGTGCTCTTTAGGTCTATACCCAATTTTTAAATTGGATTATTTGGTATTTTGGTGTCCAGTTTCTCGAGATCTTTGTGTATTTTGGAGATCAGCCCTTTGTCAGATGTGAGTTTGGTGAAGATCTTTTCCAATTCTGTATGTTTCCTTTTTATTTATTTATTTATTTTATATAACCAAGTCCATTTAAATGAAAACAAACATTTATAGACAATATTTGGGAATTTGGGCGTCGTTCTTTCCAAACTACTTCCTGCTGGTAAGGGGCGCTGTCATGGGGGATTCTAAGAAGATGCAGAAATCCTGGCTGAAGTCTGTAAGGCTGCTTTGTCCAGCTGTTTTGAATGTAGGATCACCTGGTACTCTGTTTCAGGCAGTCTGGCGTGATCAAACCACATTAGTCAGGAAGGAAGCCACAGCTTTTCACTGTATGTCCTATGCTGTACAGAAGCTTCTCAGTTTCAAGAGGTCCCATTTATTAATTGTTGCTCTCAGTGTCTGTTATACTGGTGTTATATTTATCTTCTGTGCCCATGCATTCAAGATACTCCCCACTTTCTCTTCTATAAGGTTCAATGAGGTTGGATTTATGTTGAGGTCTTTGATCCATTTTTAGTTGAAGTTTGGACATGGTGATAGATATGGGTCTACCTACATTCTTCTACATATCGACTTCCAGTTATGCCAGCACCATTTGCTGAAGATGCTTTCTTTTTTCCATTGTATAATTTTAGCTTCTTTGTCAAAGATCAGGTGTTCCATAGGTGTATGGATTAATATCAGACTCTTCAGTTTGATTCCTTTGGTCCACTTGTCTGTTTGTGTGCCAATACCCCAAGCTATTTTCATTACTGTAGCTGTATAATAGAGCTTGAAGTCAGGGACAGTGACACATCCTGAAGCTATCTTGGTTTATTTTTCTATATGAAGTTGAGCATTGTTCTGAGATCTGTGGAGAATTGTGCTTGGATTTTGATAGGGATTGCATTGAATCTGTAGATTAAATTTGCTTTTGATAAGACTGCCAATTTTTACTATGTTTAGCTTACCTATCCAAGAGCGTGGGAGATCTTTCTATTTTTTTCTGATATCTTCTTTAATTTCATTCTTCAAAGACAACATTCTTGTCATATAGATCTTTCATTTGTTTGGTCAGAGTTACCCCATGACGTTTTAGGTTGTTTGTGGCTATAGTGATGGATGATGTTTCTTTGATTTCTTTTTCAGCCCATTTATCATTTGTACATAGGAGGGCTATTGATTTTTTTTGACTAGATATTCAGAATTGAGTCTTCTTTTTGATGGAATTTCCCAGAAACAAATATGAAACGTCCTTCTTTTGTCTTTTTTGATTAATTTTAGTTTGAAGTCTATTTTGTTAGATATTAGGGTAGCTACTTCAGCTTTTTTTTTTTTTTTGTTTGTTTAGGTCCATTTGATTGGAAAATCTATTCCCAACCTTTTACTCTGAGACAATGTCTGTCTTTGAAGTTGAGGTGTTTTTTTTTTTTTTTTCTTTTTTGTACGCAGCAGAAGGATGGATTCTGTTTTTATATCGATTTTGTTAGTCTGTGTCTTTTTATAGGTGAATTGAGGCCATTGAAAACACTGGATGTTAATGAGGCATGATTGTTAGTTCCTGTCATTTTTGTTTTTGTTGCTGTTGCTGATATTGTGTGCTCATTGTCCTTCTTTGGGATTTGTCCGTGTGCATTTGCCTGTGCATTTATGGGTGTAGCTGATTCCCTTGTGTTGGAGTTTTCCTTCTAGTATTTTCTGTAGGACCGGATTTGTGAATAGGTATTGTTTAAACCTGGTTTTGTCATGGAATAGCTTGTGTTCTTCCTCTATGGTGGTGGAAAGCTTTGCTGGGTACAGTAGTCTGGGCTGACATCTGTGGTCTCCTAGTGTCTGCATGAAGCTTACTCAGGACCTGGTGGGACAAGAACCTCCACAACATTCCATATACAGAATTCCTTTGGCTTGTGTTTTCTTTATTGCTTCTATTTCAGTTTTATGTGTTGAACCCTTTCTTTCGCCTGTTTGCTTGCTTTTTCTTGATTTTCCTTAAGGCATTTGTTGATTTCTTCCATTTCTTTAGGTCATTTTCCTCTGCTTCATCTGCATTAGACTCTTCAGGTCCTGCTGTTGTAGAACCACTGGTTTCTGGAGGTTCTGCATTGCTCTTTATGTTGTTGAGTGCATTCTTGCACTGCTGTCTATCCATCTCTTCCTCCAATCAGTACTGTGCAGCCTGTGCTTCAGAAGAGTCCCTCTTCCTCCAACTGGTGGAGTTGGTGGCACTGGGTCCATTGATCACTCCTCCAGGTACAGGCAGACCCAAGACTCAGGTGGCCATTTTCCCAGGTACAGTGGGGCCACAGCTCTGGTGATTGCTACCCTAGGTGCATGGGGATCTGAGGCTCTGGTGGTCCTGCAGAGGAGGAGCATCTTGTATATAGGATGGCACTGGATGCTGGCTGGGACACCTTTCTCTCTCTCTGATGCTTGTACTGCATGGGCTAACACCATCTGTGCTTTCTCTGTGATGTTTCTTAGGCAATGACCTCCAGATACATTGTTCTTAGTAAACATAACCACAACATTCTGAAGACTGATATTCTCAGCATTTTGTCAGAAGTAAAAGTAAAATCAAGCTGGTGTGGATTGGTGACAGGGGTCAGTGGATAGAAGCATTTGTTTCTTTTTCTGAGAAGCTGAGGCCAATGAACCAAGTGGTCATCTGACCTCCACTCAAGTACTGTGTCTTGCCCCCATCCACCCACCCACACTGAGACTAATACAAACTCACACACAAATATAATATGTGAACAAGTATAAATTTATTAAAGGAAATGGAATGATTCCATAATGTGTCCCCTAGTCTTTGAACTATTAAATAAATTCATGGGCATACCGGGTTCTGAGACATCATTCATTCATTAATTCATTCATTCTGTACAGGTATCCGAGTTTCTTTTCTTTGAAATAATCACATTTGCTTGTTTGTTTTTTTTGCAATGCCCCAGTCATTGTGGACTTGAACAAAGCAAAGCTAGAAGTTGAAGTTAGTTGTTGGCTGCACACAACAACAGTAAAGTCAGAGAGTGAAGGGTCTGTAGGGGAAGAGGTTGGGCAGGCATCACCCCGACACCATCCACTGGAAATGCGAGCAAGGGTTTGACGAGATATATAACACACACACACACACACACACACGCACACACACACACACACACACACACACATCATCATATATAGTGAGCCACATAGTGGAAATTGCAGGTGTAGGAAAACTGAGAACATGAAGGTCGTGTGCTGAACTCTACCAATTAGGACAGGGAGATGTTCACCCACAAACCTAGGCTGAGCAATGAATCCAGCAGCTCAGGCCACTGGACTTCATCTTAGTCAAATACCCAAAGTCCGACTTTATCAGGACCTATCTCTTCCCTTCTAGCTTTCCTTTGGAACTGTGGGCGTCTTGACACGTCTTCCAAGCCCACTATTGAATCAGTGCCTCCCAGCGTTGCCGAAGGGGAAAGTGTCCTTTTCCGCATTCACAATCCCCCGGAGAACATCGAAGCCTTTATCTGGTTCAAGCAGATAGGCGCATTCAAGAAAATTGAGATTGCCCAGTACATCATAGACAGGAAATCAACTGTGTGGGGGCCTGCGTACAGCGGCAGAGAGACGGTGTACCAGGATGGATCCCTGCTGATTCACGGGGTCACTCAGAAAGACCCTGGGCTGTACATGCTACAGATTGTGAGGACAGATATGATTCGTGAGGAGGCGCAAGTGCAACTCCAGCTGGACAGTAAGTGATTCTCCGTGACTGTTCAGCGCTGGGCGGGGCTTAGACACACAGGACTGTCATGGCTGGCTTAGCCTTCCCTCCCTCTGCATCGTGTCCCCTTGGGAAAGGCTTGAGCACTTGGTGCAGGACGCACTGGTAGAGACAAATGGCCATAGAGCGGCTGCCGTGTTCTGACGATGCTTGCATCAAGGAAGACCTTGATGGAAAGTAACTCAGCCAGAGATGTCAGAGTCAGCCCAGGCTCTCAGGGCTCAAGACCAGACTGGGTCCTGTCATCTTCCCAAGGCGGGACTAAAGTGACCCAGGGGAGCGTTTTTCTACTGCTCTACTATTACATCCGCTCTAAGCTGACAGGGAACAATGGTTTTGGAACATCCATGTGAAACTGGGGCATTTATTGGCTCCAAATTGAGAGTGTCACACACAAAATCCAGGCGCTGGTACGGAGAGCATGGAGGAGTGCTTCCTACTGCCTGCTCCTCATGGCTGCTCAGCCAGCTCTCCCATATCACCCAGGATCCTAACTTGAAGGTCTGAATCCTTTTATATCAATCCCCAATTTAAAAAAAAAAGTTTTATTGTTTTGCACACAGTTGAAAATGGTGGCGTTTTCAACTGAGGCTTTGTCTTGCAAAATAACTGTAGATTTTGTCAATTTGACATAAAACCAGCCAGCCTACCACACAAATCTTTGAGAGGCCTGAACCTGCCCTGAAGATTGGATGATTCCCAGCCCCCACATTGCCCCAGGCCTTAGATCTGAGAGCTACCTGATAGGTGAAGTCAGGAGTCGAGTGCTTTCTAGGATGAAACAAACATAGAAAGTGTAAGTTCCAGGCCTCTTGAATTCAGGGGTGGCATCATCTCAAACCAATGTACATGAGTGTGCACAGTGTCCGGCTGGAGGCAGTGAGGGATCAGCCTTGGGGACACCCAAGGAGACAGGTCCATGAGGAGGACATGGCACTTTCAGGGTCACTGTTGGAAAGGAGGAGGTCACGTTCCTTCCCTTCACTGAGTTAGACTCACACCTGCAGCTCTAGGCTGAGAGAGGAACCCATGTGTTCAGGGTGGAGGGCTTCACCTTTTCACCAAGAGCAATGATCCCATGTAATGCGTTTTACCCTTTTCCCTCCCAGCCTCCCTTTCTCCCTGCTGCATGGCTCTCATTTCTTCCAAAGTCACGATCAATGTGGTGCCTCAGTATGCTACCGAAGGGGGAGATGTCCGCTTCCAAGTTCATAATCTTCCAAGAGATGTGAAAGCCCTTTCCTGGTACAAATTGATATACAGGGACCAGGCCTTTAAAATCGCAGAATACAGCAGAACCACGTCTTCCATCTCCTGGGGGCCTGAACACAGAAGAAGAGGGATAATGTCGTATGATGGATCCCTGATGCTCCAGGACGTCACCGAGAAAGATGCGGGCATATACACACTAGAAATCTTAAACAAACATTACAAAATTGAAAAATCGTACGTGAAACTTTATGTAAAGAGTAAGTGACTCTCTATTGTCTACAATTGCTGGGTGTGCCTTAATCCTACTTCATACACTTAACCATCAGATTGGGCTGTGCCTGCTCTCTCCCCCAGCACATTGTGACCCCCCCACTGCCCCCACTGGGGTTTGTGCCCTTATGCAGAACATGTATGGGGTAGAGAAACTGCAATGGGCGAGACCCCCTCACCTGCCTTTACCTGCAGGGAGGAGGACCTGCGCCGGGTAGTCTCAGCCTCAGGATGTCAGCTGCAGCCCTGACATTTGCAGCTCTTACCATGCGCATGTCCCCAGAAAGACTGTGGGAGCCAGGCAGCCCCTGGCAGATGAAGCCATGGGGTCCTCACAGAGAGCCCTGACTCCAAAGCTCTGCCCCTGGCTGGACTCAAGGTGACACTGGGGTGCTTTTTGTAACTGTTTGTTTGGATTTCCCGTCAGAGCCAACAGGAAATAAGGCTTTACGGCCTGTAGAAGTCATGGGACTGATTATCCCATGGAGTGTAGAGTCAGCTGTGTACTGCCATTCAGCTGCATTTAGGTAGGTCACCTGTGCGTCTCCTTCTCCTGCGGCTGAGAAGACAGGTGTTTGGGCCATTGGCCTATTGCTCTGATGGGCTTATGAGACTTCACAGGAAGGTGAAGGCACTAAGGGAAGAAACAGAAGAGGCAGCTGCTCCAGATTTCCTCTTTCTCCTCAGGGGTCCAGCCTATGGAGTTCTCTTTTGCAGGTAAATAGTAACAGACAGTGTTGATGTGAGCGGCTCCCCCTCCCAAGTTCAGACTAGGGCTCATAATTAAGCTTAGCTCATGGACAGATCAGGCAGTAACCATTCACGGTTTGTCCTGTTTAGGAGAAACTGAAGTAGAGGAAACAGCGCCTAAATTAGTGCCATATACCCCTGGGTGGCAGATCCAAAGGACAAGACGGGTCTGTAGTCACAGCTCCAAATTCTCCCCCCTGGAAGCTTTATAAACCGTTAACTGAAACAGGATTTGGGTGAACTCTCTGAGCTACTGTCATTTGGTTAACATTCTTTGTTTCTTCACAGAGATTTTGACACAGCCCTTTGTGAGAATCACCAATACCACAGTTGCAAGACATAGATCCGTGATGTTCACCTGTGTTTCACCTGATACTGATGTCTCTATCCGCTGGATCTTCAATAACAAGAGTCTGTATCACCTGAGTAGGATGACTCTGTCTCCGACTAAGTGTGGACTCAGAATAGATCCTGTCAATACTGAGGATGCTGGAGAGTATCAGTGTGAGGTCTCCAAAGGAGTCAGTTCAGCAAAGACCAGTCCCCCAGTCTCCTGGATGTGACGGGTGAGTGACCTCTCCTCTCATCCTACAGTAGAATGCTGGCATTTCTTTATCGATAGGGGACAAAATGGAGAAGAGTTATGTGGTAAAATATGATTAGTTGCTACTCAGGTGCAGCCGGCATGTTGACTCACACTGATAATACTGGGATTCACCTGTGTACAAGGGAAGGCCAGGGTTTAAAGTGAGGTTGTCTTAAAAGGAAAAAATGAAGACATCGGTATGGTAAACCTCAATTCAAAGGCCTGAAGAGCTTAGGTCGCGAGTTGTGGTGTTTCCCATCCAGTTCCACAGCCACCTTACCCAAATGAACACCGGGATGCTTTATTAGTTATACTAGTGTTGGTTGGTGGCATGGGCTTCTTATTGGCTAGCTCTGTATTAACTATTAACCCATAACTACTAATCTTTGTATGTCTACAAGGTCTTATCTTGCTGGAGAACCCCTGACTTGTGTCCTCTCATCCCGGGATCACATTGCCACTCATTTCTGCCTACACTTCCCAGAATTCTCCTCGTCCGGTTAGCCCCGCCCATTCTTCCTGCCTGGCCACTAGCCAAACAGTGCTTTATTCATTAACCAATTAAGAGAAACATATGTACAGAAGGGCAACCCCCCCCATCCGTTGTGGTTAAAATGTATAACAATACCTCAGAATTCGTGTGAACTTGGGTTGGAGAGATGGCTCAGCTGTTAAAGGCTAGGTTCACCACCAAAAAAATGTAAGAACTCATGTGAACTTATTTCAGGAGCCCCCAAGCTTTGGAGTCTAGGAGTTCACTGTGAAAAATGGTGCATTGTTTGCATAGAGAAAAATATCTTCTCACATGCTCAAATACCCTGTCTAACTAATTTACCTAAGCCCAGTGCTGCATGCACGCCATTCTTCATCCAAGCGAAGTGAGGAAGAGTGGTAGGAGAAGCGTCTGCCCGTGTTTCAGCTGGTTTCTGGATAGCTTTGATCCGCAGTTCGTTCAATGCACAGAAGTAACATCCTTCATGTAAGGGCGGATCACCCTGCTTTCATCTTGAGAGTGGCATTCACAACGGGGCCTTGCGCGTGCGTGCTTTTCCTGTTGACATGCATCCCTTCCCCTTCCCACTCCCCTCTCATGTATTATTACATCCTGACCACAGTTTTCCCTCCCTAAGTCCCCGCTTCCCCTCTACCTCAGATCCGTTCCTCTTCTGTCCCCCTTCCAAAATGAGCTGGCCTCCCAGGGATATCTACAGGACATGTAGCTATGGCAAGGTATGTTAGACTTGCCACCACCTCTCACATCGCAGCTGGGAGAGGCAACCCAGTAGGAAGGGAAAGAAAGCTCCAAAGGGCAGGAAAAAGTGATGGAGTTGCTTACCAGTTCCAGTGCTAGGAGCTCCCTGAGAATTCCCATCTGCATGACCAGCACTTACATACAGAGGCCCTAGCTCAAACCCAGACTCAGTCTCCATGACCCTCTATAAGCCCTGCTTAATCGATTCTGCTCTCCATGTTTTCATGATGTCATTGACCCCTCTGGTTCCCACAGTCCATCCTCCCCATATTCTGCGGGTTTACCCTGATCCTGCCAAGTGTTTGGCTCTGTGTCTCTGCATCTGTTTCATTGTTGTGGGATGATGCCTCCCTGATGTCTATTAGGCTAGGCACTTGTCTACGAGCATGACATAATATCATTAGCAATCATTTTGTTGAAGGTCATGTTTCATTCTATCCTGAATTTCTGGGTAGTTGGCCTCTGGGTCCTGGTCATCCAGGCAGTGCCAGGTCTGGGCTCCCTCTCATGGCACAGGCTTTGAGCTGGACAAGCACCGGTAGCCCACTCTCACAAGTTCTGTCCAACCCTACCCCAGTACATCTTACAGGAAGGACAGAGTGGAGGTGTGTTATGAATAGGTTTTCCCCTGCCGGCCTGGTCCCTCTGCTGCGCCAGCCCCAAATATCACACAGAGATGCTGTATTAGATATTCATGCTGTTGGCCTGTTACTAGTTTCTTATTGGCTATTCTTATTAACCCATTTCTATTAATCTAAGTATTTCCACATGGTCTTATCTTACTGGAGAGAGGGGCTGGCGTTCTTCTCTCTAACCTCCATCTTGGATCTCCTTCCTACTACTTCCTCTCTCCTTCTTGTCTCCTAGTCCTGCCTATCCTGGTTTCCTATTGGCCAACAGTGGTTTGTTAATTAACCAATAAGAGAAACATATTTACAGACTGACATCTCCCATCAGTAGGTGGAAGGTTTTGTGGCTGGCTTGGTGTCCCAGTGCCACTGCTCCAAGTCTTCTGTTGTTATAGAAGATGGCTGCTTCAGACTATCTATCTCTCACCACTAGAAGTCTTTACCAGGGTCACTCTTGTAGATTCTGGAGAGTTGTTTTCCACAATGTTCCCAAAGCGCTTCCAACGTTCCAGTAATTTCTCCAAGTACTCTCTCTGTCTGTCTCATCTCTCGTTTCCTCCTGCAGATATGTTTTAAAGCCAATGAACTGGAAACATTTTATTTATTTGCGTTGCCTATTTGTTTTGTCTAGGGCACCTAAGGGAACACTGAAGAAATATGGCCACTGCGGCCACACTTCCTGGTCATAGAGAGAAAGCCGTCAGTGTCTCCAGCTAGCATGGAGTTGGCTTGGTTTCTCGCATGCGCACCCCCCCCCCACTGCTCTGGCGGACCGCCTACCCCTGGTTTGCCTCTTTTCATCATTAAAAATTGTTTACTTTTGTCAACTTCTTTATTGAGTCAATCACTTCTGTGTTTCTTTTTCTTTCGTCTCTGTAGGTTCTGGGTCCCTAGGCATTTGTTTCATGTAAGTCATTCTACAGTGCCCCATCGCTATTGAGTAGTCAGGGAAATTATAGTAATCTGAAAAGTGAACAGCAAGGTCTAAAGTCTCATTTCAGGATAAAGGATTGGGGAAAGATTTTCCAATGAAACGGTCCTAAGAAACAAGGTGGTGCAGCAATCATAATATCTAACAAAGTAGGCTTCAAACTAAAATTAATCAAAAGAGATGAAGAAGGCCATTTCATATTCATCACAGGAAAAATCCAGCAGGATGCAGTCTCAATTCTGAACACCTATGCCCCAAACACAAAGGCACCCACATATGTAAAAGAAACATTACTAAAACTCGAACCACATATAAAATCCCACACACTTCTAGTGGGATTTCAAACTCTATTCTCACCACTGGACAGGGCCAACAGACAGAAACTTAACAGAGAAACAAAGGAACTAACAGAAGTTATGACCCAACTGGTTTAAACAGACATCTATAGAACATTCCATCCAAATACAAAAGGATATGCCTTCTCAGCGCCAAATGGAACTGTCTCTAAAAATTGACCACATACTTGGCAACAAAGCAAACCTCAACAGATACAAAAAATTGGAATAAACCCCTATATCCTATCTGATTACCATGCACAGATTTCAAAATCCTACAAACTCATGGGAATTGAACAATGCTCAGTTGCATCACTCCTGGCTCAAGGAAAAAATAAGTAAAGAAATCAAGGACTTCCTAGAATTCAATAAAAATGAAGACACAACATACGCAAACTTTTGCGATACTTTGAAATTAGTGCTAAGAGGAAAGTTAATTGCACTAAGTGCCCACATGAAAGAACTGGAGAATAGTCACATTAGAGAATTAACAGCAAACCTGAATTTTCTAGAACAAAAAGAAGCAAACTCACCTCAGAGGAGTAGACACCAGGAAATAATCAAATTGAGGACTGAAATCAATAAAGTGGAAACAAAGAAAATAACACAGAGAATCAATGAAACAAAGAGTTAGTTCTTTGAGAAATCCAACAAGTTAGACGTAACTTTATGCAAATTAACCAAAAGACAGAGACAGAGAGAGAGAGAACATGCACATTAACAAAATCAGAAATGAAAAGAGGGACATAACAACGGACAACGAGGAA